GCTCTACACAATGCGCAATGTGTGGGTTGTTGTCGTAGTTTGCGTTGTTGCTGTGGAGTTGTTGTTGGTATTGCATTGTATTGGATCATTATAGAGCAAGCCAGGAAGAAAGATAGGTCGCTCTGACTCGGGAAACACTTCGAAATGTGTAGAAGTTGTGAACAAAAAGACAATTATGACTAATATAAAAACAGTTCAATGGTTTAAGGAATAGATAGCCCAGTGGATAGAGCCGGCGGCCCGAATGCGGCGATGTCCTCCGCGCAGCTGGTTCAAAGCCCGGAATGGATTAACTTTTAATCATTGCTTTTCAACTTTAATACTTTAATAACTGATAAAAAGCCCTCTCCTCCCAAAAAAATGTCCAGTCTCTTCTCAGTAACCCAATACACACAATTATCAATCTTTAATTGCAAATAGAACATGATATTCAGTCTTAGTGTGTGTGTGAATAGAATATTTTTCAAGGCAAAGATACGTTAAACCCACTGCAGCCTTGCACTTCGCCAGGAGAGGTCGCTGTAACTGAAGCTTCGCGAAATGAACCTATTTCCGACACAATTGTCCAAGTGGTTCGATGCTTCATTCAAAGCTTCATTTTGCCATCACTAATATAAAGTATGCATCTTCTTTATTGACAGCTGTCTTATTGTTGTCAAATTGTACAGGTGCCCAAACAAACAAAGATATTAGTTACAGTTGGCAGCTGGAGGAACAGCTTGTTTGTTGGGACAGGTCGGGTTGGACGCCACCCAGTGTTGCAATTGTTTTGTTTTGAGCTTCAGGACAATAGCTTCGTAGTTGTACTAATCCCTCAAATCAATCTTTATTTAGTAATATTGTTCCTACAGGCACAAGAAATATAAAACTAATCCTGATCCAACCAGTTTTTGCACACAAGTGTTATCACTAGTTGGATGCAGACTACTATTTTAAAATGTTGACACACCACCTGAACTGAGCACCACATGGGCTTCCTTGACTTAACACTATGGGATTTTCCCATTGGATTATAGAATTTAGCATAATAAGATATTTGGCAAACACACGATTATGATACATACACGTTGGTTCAGCAGATCCACAATATAACACCACTTTATGATTTTTGATGACTAAATGCAATAGCCAGAATTTGAAAGCTGACGTTAAGATATGAAGGAACTTCATCACGATCACAGCGCTGCGAATCACCACAGCTAAACCAAAGGCATCTTAAGGCCCGGACACACCAAGCCCATTTTGGCCGACGATGAGCGTCGACACGCCCTACTCAGATTGGTGTGTCCCGCACCGTTGTGTCTTTTCAGCCGTGCCGACACCTTTTCGGCCGAAAACCCACCGATTCAACATGTCGAATCGGTGGGCAGTCGGCCAAAGGCAGTCGGCAAAATAAATCACTCTGATTGGCTGTTCAGCTTAGCGAATCAGTGCATGAGAAGCGAAACGGAAGTGAGGGACCCAAACAAACGATTAAGAAGGCAAATCTGAGATTTCATTTAACTCCAGCTCTCGACACAGGTTTGGGAAAGCCCCATGAGCTTCTCGCTGGAGAGTGAAAATGGAACGCACACGCTATTTGTTGTTTGTTTATATCACGCAGTCTGTTCTTCTTCTCTCGGTGTATCACGCAATCTGTCTTCCGGTTGTTGCCTCTTTTGAATGACGAATACACACTACCGCCGCCTGCTGGTAAGGAGAGTTATTGCCACTCACGCATGCGCAGTTCGTACGTGCTTCTTGGCCGTCGGCTGAAGTCTTTGCGGTGTTCCAGTGCGACACATGGCCAAGACGCAGGAGACGTGAGGCGACGCAACAGTTGGGGTCCGTCTGTGTCAGTTCTTTGGTGTCAGCTTGGTGTGTCCGGGCCTTTATGTTCCTAAACCAAAGCTATTATGTGATAATAAATATGATAACTCACAGCATGAGCTCCTTGGACTGCTCCTTCTTGGCCAGTTGTTTCTCTCTCTCCTTCACCAGCGCCTCCTGCCTGGCCTTCATGTCATTCAATGTCACCAGACCTGATCAAGTAAACAATAGTCAAACAACAATCACATGGCTATATAGAACCACAAGCCACATTGCAATGATGTTGCATTATTGGTTTCCTTTCCCAATATCTCTTTTGAGCCAAATGCTCCTTCAGTCCATGCAGGTGACAGTTTGTGGTGATAACAGAAGTATTTGATGTCCAAAAACAAGAATTCTTACCAACTGTGCTGGACTTGAGCTCTGCCTCCACAGCATCATAGTGAGCGGAGAATTTCTTATCGATGTTAGACTTCACCATGTTGTCCTGTAAGAAACAGACACACATTACAGACAAGAAAAACTGGAGGGAAAGTTTAGCTTGCCATTTTTTTTTAAGCATTAATAGTAACATACGGTTAGGATGCCTCATGATACCCTACTAGCTAAATGCTATGTAGATAGTAGGGATGGGGATTTGAAAGCAAATGTATATTCGAATATTCGACCCCCAAAAAATCGGTTAACCGAAATGAACATATCCTATTAAAAAAAAAGAAATGTGGGAATTTTTTTTACAAAAGAAAAGAAAATTTTTTTTATTTTTGAAAATAAATAAATACATGTTCAAATAAGTATAGAAACCAAGTCGAATTTGTCAAATGTATTGGACTGGTGATCACAGTTTGAACAGTTGACAGCTATAGGCCTACAGCTTTCATGCTTAAAACATAACTTGGTTTTTAAATGAAAGAGGGATCATACACGAACAACATAACGGGTTAGGGTAACGTAACCCTATTACAACAGAGATCAACAACCTATAACAGGGCCTATGCTCAGAATGCAGCTATTCATCAATACTCATTCTTGTTTAAGAATATGAGCATGTGTACATGCTCAGGGGAGAGGCGGGTGCGGAGGCAATTCAGGCCAGCTGTAGAGAAGACCCTCTCAGCTGGAATTTGGGCATACGATGAGGTTTGAGTCTGCGTGATCTGCGTGTAGGGAGGGGCAGCAGCCATATCATTAGCTAGAACTAGCTAGATCTGATGGATATGGACATAAACGTGAGTGAAGTATAACCAGACGCGAGAGAGAGATCAGCACCTGCAGCTCTGCCCGCTGTGAGGGACCGGTGAGCGGAGCAAAACACACCTTTAGACCTAACACATTTAGCTATGGCACTGTCGTATACATTGAATTATTCCATTTGATAATATGTAATCAACTTAGGCACCCATCCTAAAAAAAAAAAGAAAAGAAAAATTAATAAAAATATTCATAACTCATATTCTCATATTCGAATACCTGAATAATTTGAATATTCGATTAATCGTTCCCACCCTAGTAGATAGGACTTTTTTAAATATATTTTTACGTACAAAACAACATGGCTTTCAGATATTCAAAATAAACTAATAGGATCAAGTTGTTATAAAACAGAAATACACAGTATAGAAATGTATAATAGCTAATAAACAATAAAAACATTAACGAGCTAGGGCTATTTATGTGAATCATATTCTTCCGAACAATATTGTTGCATTATTATTTCTCTTTAACTGCTTTAAAAGGAAAACAGTTCCTCTTTTTTTTCAAACACAAAACTTAGATATACTCAGATAAAATGTACAAAGAATAAGAATATCGTTAAGCAAAAAGTTAGCTAATGTCCAAGATGAGGTAATAAATAATGTCCTTTAAAAATGAAGAGTTGCTTTCCACAAACCTTTGGGTAAAGCCAGTTATGTACATCAAGTCATAAAGATTGATGCATTCTGCATTTACTTGCAACATTTTATTGTATTTTATTTGACATGTATAAAGTTGACTTCTGCAATACTTGCACATTGGTCTTACAACATAATCTTGCACTATTTTATTTCTATTCAGTTTTCTCCTTGCACTATATATTGATTTTTTTAAATGTGTTTTATTGGGTAATGTCTTATTTACATGTATGTTCCATTGCTGGAGGAGCCTGTGACTACCATTGCCATAACTACACTGTAGCTACTGTGCATATGTCAATAAAGCTTTGAATCTTGAACAAAAAGGATGATAAGTAACACACTGCAACTGCGACGCCTTCACTGAACCCCCACTTTGCTGGGACTCAGGGCTCTCGCGTAAGGTCTCATAACGGCTGACGATAATTATTTTGGAGAATATACAACTAAGTCAGTTCGCAATAAATGACTCTAACACGTTATCATTGATGGTAAAAAGCTACTTACCTCGGCAATTTTCAGTTTTAGCTGCTCGAGCTGTGATCTTTCTTTTTCTCGTTTCTTCATCAGTTGCATGGCTCTGCCGGCCTCACTGGCGGCTCCTTTGTACTGCGCCATGTTGCTCTTTCTGCTCCTAACGCTCTCTAATAAGATTATTTATTCCACAAACAACAAAAAGGTAAGTTCAATTCTGATATAGATTGATTTTATTAAGAGCTACGAAGGTATAACTCCCAGCAGCACAACACAACAAGAAAAATGGCGACGACGAAGTGCATGCCGGGTAGTAACGGGAGAATTATAAACGATGCCTTCAGGTTACCCAAGAGAGCTCGGAATTATTACATCCATAAATCAGAATCGCATCAAAGGCTGAATAAACGGTTAGACTATAACATATCAGTACACATTTAAAAGAAGAAAAGGAATATTTTATAAATTCAATTCACAATTGCTAGTTTTTTATTTAAAAAAGTATTCTTTATGATTAATTTATGAAAGTTGATCTATAAAATGTTTTAAAGAAATGTTGAAAAACAATAATAGTTATAACATAGCAAATCCTAAAACAAGACCCTAACCCTAATACTAAATCAGTATAATATATAATAGTATAAAATGATTAAATCCCAAAAGATGCATTTGATTAATTGTGTCAACTTTATTCTAGAATAAAATGTGCACATTTCTGTTAAATCCATTCACAACAAATACGCTTAAGGAACTTCTGACATTTATTTTATTGATTGCATGGTACAATTGAATCAAAAACATTTTCAAAATAATAACAAAAACTGTCTATGAACTGACTTTACACATATAAAACATATCAAACAGCATTAACATGAAAAAATTGCGGAACCATGCCAATTATAAAACCAAAAAAAGACACATGAACATTTTTATAAAATAATCAATCTCTCTCTCACTTATTCAGTCACTCGATAACACTCGCTATGTCTCTCATTCATGCAGTCTCTTTGTCTCTCATTTGATGGTAGTCCTTGTTCGACAGTGTTACGCCAATTTGGCTGCAGCAGAGAGCAAGAGATGTACAGAAGGGAGTGATAAAAACATTAACACCACACATACATAAAGACCGCAGGCAGGGAAGGAAGGTGGTGCTCAGCTGTATGCAAGGCACCACAAACCTAAAGGGAGAAAAGGAGAGAATTATTTAAACAATAATATGTCAGAAATAACGACTCTCTTCTCATAACCTATAGGTATACATTACTGCAATTACACTAATGGATCACAGGCCATCGTAGCTAATCGTATGAACCTTCTGCATTCACTGTATTTGAGGAATGTGTGACCATGGGTGCGTCTCACTTCGGTTATTTTTCATTTCCTCGCTTCTCAGGCTCGGTATCACCGGAAGTTGATTTGTCTGCGCCATCTTGAGTAGCGTCCCAGTGGCCTTATTTTTGCTGGGGGACCGAGGATCGAGGATCGAGGATCGAGGAGTGATAACGGAGCAGCGATAATCGAGGAACTACCTGACCATCCTCCGGTGAAATCATCAGACACTCGCCCCGCCCCCTTACTGTGTATCGCTCACTGATTGGACGATGCAGCGCATGAACTGATCTGGCTGCTGTCAGACGATCAGCTGTGCAGCGTCATCACAAACGGACGTCGCTTCACGTGACGCTCCGGAGGAAACGACGTCCCATTGCTATTAAAACTCATTTCCCTGCTTCTCGTGGTTTCCTTGCGTCTCTCCATGCTTCCCTGGTGGGAGGGACTAAACGCAGGGAAACGACGCAAGTGAGGGACGCAAGGATTTCATTTAACCGAAGTGAGATGCAGCCTATGTGACTCTAATGTGCACGACTTCATGAGGAAAATGTTTTATTGCATCGGCATACCAGACATGTAGACAGGCGAGAATGGCCAGTGAGATTCCACAAAGAAGAGCTAAAGGAACTGCAAACAGCAAGGAGAGGCAGCGGTACGTCCAGATGCGAGTCTTCTCAAAGCCAACCACGCTGTGAAGCCACACTCGATCAATGCTATGAGGTGTGGCGGGCTCTGCCAGTACGTCACTGACCTCTACCTATAGATGAGAACAAAGAGTGGGTGGTACAAGGTTAGTCAAAGCAGTTTGTTTATAGAACAAGAACAACTGTATTCAGTTACAGTATAGATGTGAACACATAAAAGCATAAATAGATTGCCAATCCAAAAAAGTTCTCTCTGGTTTTTACAACCTACAGTAAGAACAGGTGAAATAAAGTTTGTAATTTTTCCATAAATTATTAATTATTAGTAACAGGTATAAAAACAGTGTTGCCAGGATATTTTTCCCAAGTTGCTGTTTGAACATAGGGTGGTTTTCAGCGGCAAAAATGATTATCACTTTTTGTGTTCTAAAGTCATACATAAAGGAAGAAAAAACATTAAGAACTGCATGTATTGTTCTCTTTCTTATTTGCATGTTAACTTACGTTTTTGAGTAAGGAGCCCCACGAAGATTGCCTACTTTATAGTGAAATCTCTCCTGGACTGGTGATCAGGGGCCTCATTTATAAAGGGATATACGCTCAAAAAATGGCGTACGCCAGTTTCTACGCAATGTTTGCGATTTATAAAATACTAACTTGACGGGAAAATGTGCGGTCCTCCACGCAAACTCTAACCCATGCGTACGCACTAAGCACAACAACGGGAGAGACGAGAAACTGCGACACCGTTGGCAGAAGGAAGAATGGAGAGAAATATGTGGAAATAATACCATAAATAAAATGTTACCTATCATTTATCATATATGAAGAATTCATTTTCAAACATTGATTAAAGCCAATCTTAAAATGATTAAACAAACGCCTGTTTGCGACTCCTCAGTGCACACAAAAACATAACTTGGAGAAATAAATAAATACGGATATGTTATTTAAAACCACCTCGAATATGTTGTGTTAATGTTATGAAATGTTTTCTCATAAATGATGCGGTAAGCAGGAGGACAGAATTACGTCTAAACTGACGCCGTTTTGCATTTCTATAGGTTGTAGATACGAGCATGGTTCTATTTCGTCCCTACTGACCGCCAGAGGCGGTGCTTTTAGCACTGGATATGTCCATCGTGCGCATGCGCAGCTCGAGTACCAATAACAACAAAGTCACCTGTGACCCACGTGACACCGGCTATATCGGTGTCGACAGAGGATCTGTTCCTTTCATCTTCTCGCTGCGCGAGAGTACCGTGGCTGCATTCTTGCAGCCTACAGCGTTCAGGTTTGAACGTTTGATCTGAGGGATTTCTCTGCATACAGCTGGCCGCGGGGAGCTTCGCGACTGATAGTCGGAGCTACGGGTTGTTAACGCGTCCTCCAGGAGCTGTGGCCGGCTGTGCGCCGTGCAGAGCCTCGACGGACAGGTTTGTGTCAACTTGTGGTGATGGCTGTGTTCCCGCACCCTCTCCCAGCTAAGTTGTCCTGATTGCTGTCTTGTTATTGTCGGGCTACTTTCTGGTGACGACAGTGTTCTCGCCTCCTCTCCCATAAAGTTGCCCTTATGATGCTCTTTTGAAAGTTCTGCTTGTGGCGTTGTGCCCGAGCTATCTTTAGCATTTGAGTTCCCAGCTTTCGCTGCGTCTCTCATTTAATTTGTATGGAAAGCCCACAGTGCCATATTTTGCCTGTTTTTTGTTAGGTGCAAAGAGTAAGGTAAGTTCTGGCCAGAGTTACTACTGTAACTACGGTCCTAGCTGGTGAAGGCTGTGTTCCCGCACCCGCTCCCGGTTACGCTGCATCTGGCATTCGTCTCGAACTTAACCAGTGAAGGCAGTGTTCTCGCCCCCGCTCCTGGTAGACGCTAGACTGCCTTGTTTATTAATCCAGCTAGGCGAAGGCAGCGCTCTCGCTCCCGCTCCCTCTGCCGGTAACGTGGGTGTAATTACATCCCTCTTTCTATTCGGCGAGTAGCAGCACCGCTCTACTCTTTCCGTTAAACAGGTAGCTGGTGCAGGCTGTGTTCCCGCACCCGCTCCCGGCTACGCTGCATCTGGCTACCCACAGAATGGCTCATTCATGTGGGCTGTCCCCTAAGGTGGATCGGTTAGCTGCCATCATGGAGCAGACAAAGCCGCTCCTGTTGGCCCTTCAGCCAGGGCTACTAGCTTGCCGCCTGGCCCGCCTTCGGTTGCCACACCTCTGCTTGAGGATGCCATGTCACTAGCGGCTCCGGCTGAACCTCTTCTTGAAAGGGCGGGGGGCGGGGCCCCGCTCACCCCCGAAGAGGCTCCCCACTCCTCTGCTCAGAGCTCTTTGCAGGGCACGGAGGACGGCTCCATGGCGGCCATTATTCGTGCGGCCCTGGTACGCTTGCAGCTTCAGGTTCCGCAGGCCGACCCAGGCTAGCGCCTTCTTCAGGCATAACCCTGCCCCTTTCATTCCCACTGTTCCTCCTTTAGAGGAGTACCTGAGGGAGCTCCATGCATGCTAGAGAGACACCAGGGCCCTCTCCCACTCTGCTGCCATGCAGGATCCGGCGAGGGTGGGGCTGGGTCGCTTGCCATCCATTGAGCCTGCCATCGCCTCCCCGATTCTGGCCCCGGATGCCAGGCGCCCTCGGCCTCAGTGCAGGGTCACAAACGAGCTGCTCTGTAAGGCCTACGACACAGCCTACGACACAGCGGCACGGGAACTCTCTCTCCCATCTGATACTGGCTGTCTCTACCTCTCTGCAGCAGGCTCCGGCTGAGCCTTCTTTGCTGGGCCTCAGCGATGCATCACTGCAAGCCTTTGGGAATTGGGACGAGTCATGTCCTTATGGTGCAGACTCGTCGCCAGGTTTGGCCTGCTTAGTCACCACTGTCGGAGACATGTCCTCCGTAGTGTGCCAGTCGAGTCAGGGGAGCTGTTTGGGGCAGCTGCCCTGTAGGCACTGGAGCGTGCTGCCCAAGCTAGGCAGACCAGGCAGCAGCTCTCGGGTCTTTATAGGCCTGTGCCCACTCCCAGCAGGCCCAGGGGCCCCTCTAGCAGCCGCACTCAGCCACCAGCTTACAGTGGTGGTCTGCGCAGGTCCCAGCGGCCCACTCATCCGTTGTGCCCCCGGCTGCCGGCCTTCTAGGCGGCCTCGTGCCTCAGACCCTTACCGGCCTCCCCCCAGCAGCAGCTCAGCTACTGGGCTGTCTGTACTTCCGGCCCTTGGGTGGTTTTCACCTTAACCCAGGGGTACGAACCGCAGTTCCGGCCCCTAGCCTTCGGCCGGGCCAAAATGACAGTCGTCAGCGATCCGGCAGATGCCCTAGCTCTAGCCCAAGAGTTGTCCGTCCTTCTGCCCAAGGAGGCAATCGAGCCAGTAGACCCTCTGCTTAGCCCAGGGGGTTCTACTCTGCGTACTTTCTCGTGGCCAAGAAAGTTGGCGGATTTCACCTGCTCTTGGACCTCAGAGGAATCGACAGATTCCTGGAGGTGCTGCCATTCCATATGCTGACCGCAGCACATGCACAGGGGGAGTGGTTCGCAACCGTGGACTTTAGGGATGCCTACTTCCTCGTGGGCCGGGCAAGAGGGTGCCTGATATTCAGTTCCTCCGGCCCTTGGGCAGACTGACGGCTGCCTCAGCCGTTGGGCCCTTAGGCCCGCTGTCGTTGTGCCCCATGCAGATGTGGCTGATCAGCCTTCTCTTGGATGCCAAGTGGCACAGACACAGGAAAGTCAGAGCGTTGCAGCGTTGTCTCCACTCTCTGTCACGCCGGAGGGGCAGGGTCTATCTCCTGATGGGCGTGCCCATGGGCGCCATCCCATCCCGCCAGGAGACCGTCACCATAGGTGCATGTCTCTTAGGGTGGGGTGCAGTGCGGCAGGGCAGGACCGCTCAGGGTCAGTGGTCTGCCCAGGAGGGTGCACGCCATGTCAACGTGCTAGAGCTTCGGGCTGTGCAGCTTGCGCTCACGTACTTTCTACCCCAACTGAGGGGCAAGAATATGCATGTTCCTTGGGACAGCAGGTACACTGTTGCCCAGACGGCAGTCCCTTCTAGATAGTGGACGTTCTCACTCCAGTCTGAATTTATGTGGCTGCTATTTCTGCCCGACATGTTCGGGTCGACGGCGCCACGGCGGGGTGCCTCAGGTCGGTGTCCCTCTTCCTGAAGAGGGGCTTTACGGCAGCGTCCCCCTAGCACCCCGAGGGCTCCGGCTTGGGGCCTGCCCCTGCTGCCGGATGCCCTATCATCTCCTCCCTTCGAGCCCCTGGCCCAGGTGGGGCTTTGGTGGCTGCCCACGAAGGCAGCATTTCTGCTTGCCATGGCCTCAGGGAGGCAAGTTGGGGAGTTACATGTCCTCTCCATAAACGATACATGCCCGAGGTGGGACTCTCAGGTGTTGCCCTTGGCATTCCTGCCCAGGGTGCTTCCACAAACCCACTTCAATCAGCCTGCCCAGCTGGCACGCTTTGACATTCGGGAGAACGGCACGTCGAAGTGGCTGTGCCCTGTGGGTGCCCAAAGGGCGAATATCGAGGCTACTGCCTATATACGGCAGTCGGAGCAACTCTTGTTTTTGCCATAGCGGCACTAAAGGAGGTGTGCCCTCTACCAGTGGCTGCCCCACTGGGTTGTCGATACCATCTCACATGCCTACGGGGCCAGTGGCCGCCCCTTGCCATCTGGGCTGAGATACCACTCTGCAAGGAGCATCTCAACATCTTGGGCTGCCCTGAGAGGGGCGCCCCTGGAGACCATCTGCGCCGCGGCGTCGCGGGCGTCTTCTGGCACATTCTCCAGTTATCGGGTTAATGTCGCCACTCCCCATTCTTTGGGCGTGGTCCTTTTGCCGAGCTCCGCTGCTTCCAGTAGTGAGCCAGGGCTTGGATTCTTCATGACATGGTTGGTATAAGTCATCCAGTGCTAAAAGCACCGCTTCTGGCGGTCAGTAGGGACGAAATAGAACGATAGTTACGGCTGTAACTACGGTTCCATGAGTCCCGGATGACCGCCAGAGTTTCCTGTCACTCAGAACTCTTGTGTGCTCGCGAGAAGATTCTGGGAACAGATCCTCTGTCGACACCGGCTGTTATAGCCGGTGTCACGTGGGTCACAGGTGACTTTGTTGTTATTGGTACTCGAGCTGCGCATGCGCACGATGGACATATCCAGTGCTAAAAGCACCGCCTCTGGCGGTCATCCGGGACTCATAGAACCGTAGTTACAGCCGTAACTATCGTTTTATATCCTATCACGTTTAATCGTGTTTTATGCCGTTTGCCAAGACTTGATAAGTCGCTCGTAAAACACAGGAGGTATGGAAACTAAGAACACCATATGTGGTAAATTGTACAGCTAATATAACACAATACATTAGTTGTATTTCCTTTAACTGGTGGATTATGGATATATAGTTGCTGATCGAAAGCTGGAACACAAACCACCAAATACAACAAAATAATTCAGATCCAGTCGTCATGACTCCACTCCGGAGGGATTCCCCGATCATTTCTTACAGTTTCTCATCAAGGGGGTGTCTCCTGTCCCCGGTAAAAACACACTGCCTGAGGAAGGTTATGTGTATTTTTTTTGTCATTAACCTTTTTCGGACCACTTATTTATTTTGGTGACGATCCGACCTCCATGCTGCTACTCTGGTTCAAACTGCATCCACCAAACAATATGATTCATCTCGACCTCCCCAAAATAACCAAAATCTGACACGGTGTGAGATGTCTTTTTTAGCTGTTCTGTCGTCATTTCCTGCGATCTTCTTCATGCAGTCAGTCAAAATGAATGAATGAATGGGCGTTTATTTGACTATGTATGGGCAAATATGGGTGTGATGGGAAGCCTGCAAAAGCTGCGCCGCATTTCGAGTCGATTGTGATTTATAAAGGGAAACAGGCGTAGGAAGTGCAGTACGCACTTCCCTCGCCGGTGCGCAATGTTTTGTGAATCGGAAAATTTCGGAAAATTTCTGTACCTATTTTTTTGCTTTGTATTAAGCAACCTTCCCACGTGAATCCTACGCAAGGCGTTATAAATGAGGCCCCTGGACCTCTGTCTTAGAAATGTGGCCAATGTCAATTAACATCTTCAAGATAACTTAGAAGTGGATTAAGATCATGTGCTTTGTTCAGTTTCAAGTGGAAATACAGCTACCTGTCATAAACATAGCAAAAATAAGAGCTGTTCTAAAAAGAGACTCCAGTGTCATCACAAATAATCCAAAGAAAAGAGGACCTAAAAGGGAACCTTGGGGTACACCACAATAAATAGTAGCAGAAGAGGATGACAGAATGAACCTTAAGGTGCTGGTTGATGCCATGAGGGTCCCTGTTGACCGGAAGGGTGGGTGATGGCGTACGGGTGGATGTGGGTGTATGGGTCGGTGTGGGCGTAGCAGGGGCCGTGGAAGGGGTTGGAGGTTTGGACGCTGGAGTCGGGACTTTTGATGCAAACTCAGGAGGAGGAGGAGGCGTGGTTATCTGTTCTCCTTCTCTGTCATCGTACTCATCACTGTCGTCATCGATCTTACACTCCACCAGACAGTCATCACTCACCATCATCATCATCACTGAAGGACCAAGGATACGCTGGCTTTCACTTGCAAGAAGATAGAGGGTCTATTCTGATATTGCACTAACATACACACATTTATACTGTAAATAAATGCACACACACAGCACACACATAAATACACCCCTGCAGCACATTTCATTTCAGGCATGTTGCGTGTAACAGCAAGCTGAGCACTGGCACTAGCACCTGTTAGCCCCCAAAAAAGAAGCCATACCAAAATCTGTAAATAGCAGCTGGCCATTTTAAAATGACATTCAAAAATGAAAATAGAGCAAAAGAAAAGAATGTGTCATATTATCTAAAATATATGACCAAAGTCTTGCAGTTGATTAAGTCTTTTTATTATTAATCAATAATACATGCAGGTTGATTTTAAAGACTTGTAACCCATTTGCTTTGATATACATGAAACAGCTACTTCTGAGGTGAAGAACTGTTGTTGCAAATCATATCCTTCTTGAGATATAATGGCAGCAGATCCACAACAGGGACCGCAACAGTCGAAATGATAAATCATGTCTGACTTACCTTACTTACTGTAAAGGGCTATCTTAATCCTGTATCAGTGACATAGACCCTTGCAGAGGAAGGAGATAAGAAGGCAGACGAGCCCTGCAGAGTGATAATCTGAAATGTCAATGAGATCAGTTCAGCCGCTTAATCACAATGTCCCTCAGAGCTGAGTTGGCTTATGAGAACTCATACACACACAGACAGACACCAGAAGTGCTCATTTGGTACAGTGCCTCTTATTCCTTGTGCGTGAGTGTGTGTGTCTGTGTGTGTGTTGGGTGGCTGTGAGAAGGGGTTATTTTAGGCAGAGGAGCGGATGGGCCTAAAAGATCACGTTACAGCACTAGGGTGCCATCGTTACACAAAAATTGAAACAATCACACACACACACACACAACTACGCGCACACACGAATGCACACACACACACACACACATGCACACCTCACGCACAGCGCACAACAATGAGGTGGGAAGTAGTATTTGCTTATTTCAAACTATGATAAACATTTACTTGTATATTGTTAAACGACAGCAGAAAAAAAAAATATTTGAATATTTTCCTATCTTTATATTATTTGTGTTTATAATTTCAGCATCAAAATGTTATCTTTTATTTTATTTTTGATTGGATTAACCCTCCTATTGTCTTCGTTTCCCCCCCCTTACTTTGGTGTTCGCTGTCAAATTTGAACGGTCCTGTTTTAACTGCTATTACATTAACACAAAAACCATTAATCATCACCAAATTTCATTTAACACCCTTTCAAACTGTAAATATTGTATCAGACTACTGGTATACATGAAGAACTGCAGTAAATATACAAAGAATAGACACTGAACATGTATTGCGTGTGCCAGGTGTGATTCACATGGGGGGATGGGCACATAAGGGGGGGGGGAAACATCTAGAGTAGGTGTGTGTGTGTGTTTTATCTGATCCAGATGGTTAGTAAGGCTGGTGCCCCACGGGAACGCATACGGCAAAACGCATAGGATTAACGCAATCACAATCGCAAAAAAGCTTCCGTCCACACGCAATATACACCGGATAGTGACTCAGCTCCGTTTAGATCCAACCGCTGGAAAAAGCTGCAGTACATATGCCGAGCCTGTACGTGGCGCTGTAACTTCCTCCAGAAAAAGCAGCGAAGAAGCATGGTTGCCCTTCTGTTTATTCACCGTGGTGAAGGCCGAGGGAACCGGACAGAGTTTTTCGCCGGTCAACGTGTGTAAAAGTTTAAATCTTCCGGACAAAATTATAAAAGTGCCGGTCAAAGGTCTTCTTTGTTATTTATTAAGCTTTAAAACAAATGAATAACGACTATATATAATAATAAAATACACGGAGCCTGTCCTCTCTTTTTCCTCTCTTCTGACAACTGATCCAGTAATGAGTGACCCGGCCGACAGTAAAAAATAAACATATTTATAACTAGTTTAGGTAGTTTGAGAGGTAGGCCAATTAAAATAGCTAAGGGTGATGATCTGACTTGAAGTGTGTGTTTTGCTCCCGCTGCATCACAGCGGGAGGAGCTGCGTGTCTCCGTCCTGTCAGATTAGACTTCACTCGCGTTTATGTTCATATCGAGATAAAGATAAATAATCTGAATTCAGTGTGCAGTGTACTTTTGCGGGGGTGAGCAGCAGAGGTGGGGGGGAGGCGGGGCTATTGCGTCATCATTATCACAAAATGATCGTATAGAGGCTACCACACGGAGCCGTATGACCCCCCAGAGTGCTCCGTTCCCAGATCTATCCACCTTTGGACCCGTTGTCGTTTGCGGGGTCCGTTTCTATCGTTTAGTTACGGCCTCGTGTGGCAAAAAGGGCTATACGCAAGAGAAATATGCGGATACAACCCGTTTTCATCCTCGTGGGGCACCAGCCTAATTGACCGGGAACACCATGGGTGTTACAAAGTTGACTAAATCATCCAAAATTCAATGAAAGTGGTGATCCGCAATTCTATATGTTCAAATGTCTACTGTGAAGGATTAAAGTGTAAGGAGGCCGCTGTTCATGTCCTTTTGGACACGAGAGGCAATTTAATAAGCTGATAACATGCAAAAATGTTGTCAAAGTGCGTAATGGTGCTTCAAGCTAGAAGCATATGGGGCAAATTCTATGTAAGATGCTCCCTCATGGCTCCCTGTAGATCTGCTCATGGAACACAATTGAAATACACTGACAACCTTTTAATCATTCATCACTTTATTGAGTTCTTCTTCTTTCTTTTTTAACACCACATATACATTTGGACACAGTACATTTTGTGACATCATCAAACAGTGATCCAGAATAACAGGGTGTTTTAATCATAGAGGCAGAATCAATCAAAAAAGGATTCTCCTTTTATGTTTCCAATACTGAAACACAACAGAGGGGAGATTCGATAACGTACGCACATTTCAAATGCTTTTGGAGTCATTTTACACTTGCAAAAAACCTTAAACAATGGAACCTATATATGGTGTTGGATAGTCAAAGGGGGGCCAAAATGTGTGGATGAATGAGAGAAAGAGTTTTGATTGTGGCTCCAAAATGTAGCCATTGCATTCACAGTTTAAACCAGAGAAAGTCTCTCTGATATGGGGACCATTTTGGCTCTTGAGGCTAGGGCACAGTTTCCAGTTGAAGAGCAAGACAACCACAGCCCTGAGTGAGAAATTCTAACTTATTCCATTGAAGCCAAACCTGAGTTAGCTTGGCTCTAACTCTGCAGAAGCCCTGAGTTTTAGCCTGCCTTTCAGGCCATTTATCACATATGAAGGGGAATGTGTGTGTGTGTGTGTGTGTGTGTGTGTGTGTGTGTGTGTGTGTGTGTGTGTGTGTGTGTGTGTGTGTGTGTGTGTGTGTGTGTGTGTGTGTGTGTGTGTGTGTGTGTGTGTGTGTGTGTGTGTGTGTGTGTGTGTGTGTGTGTGTGTGTGTGTGTGTGTGTGTGGTGTGTGTGTGTGTGTGTGTGTGTGTGTGTGTGTGTGTGTGTGTGTGTGGTGTGTGTGTGTGTGTGTGTGTGTGTGTGTGTGTGTGTGTGTGTGTGTGTGTGTGTGCTTACGCTGCATTAAAGTATGACCGGCCCTACTGTCTAAAGTCTTTCCAACATCTTTGGGGGCCCAAAATGTTCAATATTAAATGAATAAATAGATAAATAATTATGAAATAAATCATTCAGACAACAAAAATGTGCCTACATTTATAAATAAAACAATCGTTTGGGAAATAATGATTGATAAATTGTTAAGACTTAATTCACTATAATAACATGTTATTTCGTCATCTGTGATGCGGTAGAGTTTTATGGCCAGGCGTCAGGGAAATAGGGAGAATAAAGTTTTAAAAGTAATTTAGGAATAATGTTAAAATGTTAGAATTAACTCCAAATTGTTCAGGATAAGGTCAAAATATTAAGAAAAAAGTTGAAATGTTGAGATTAAAGTTGAAATTTCAAAAAAAAAAGTCAGAATACCCTTTCATAAAAAAAGTGAATGGTAATGTTTTAAATAAAACTAAAATCTAGAGAATGGTGTTGACACCTTGAAATGAAACATGGAACTTTATTCTGGTTAGAAAATATACCGTGTGACTTTACTCTTAATATTTTGACAATGTCCTCTAAATGCAAAATATATCTCCATCCTCTTGCTTTTGCCCCTATGCCTGGCCCTAATACTGCTCTGTACATCTGTCTTTTTAGTCATGTCACTATTTATTTCATTTCACTTTTAAATGGTGTCTCTCTGAACCTAGATGAGGATGCTCGCGTGCTCCCCTAGCTAGTTAGCTGGCTAAGGAGGTAGCATTAAGCTAAGACTTAGACAATATCAAAATGACCGTCTGTTTTTACTGCATCTGTTTAAAACAGGGGCCTCTATTTGAAGCAGGGGCCTCTATTTTTAAAGTTTAGAGTTAAATTGGCATTGTTTTTGATCGAGCTAACAGGTTGCTAACTGGCTAAATGTGGTGTTCTCAATTAGCTATCTTAAAGGACAAATATTATCCCCATTTTCAGGCTGATACTTGTATTTTGGGTTTCTTCTTCTACATGTTCACATGCTAAAGTTTTCAAAAATATATATTTATATTTCCCCCGTCTAATACGCTTGATTTGTTAACCGGTCTTTTTAAGGCCCCCCCTAAAAAAGCCCATCCTGCTCTGATTGGTCAGTGTTTCCGAGTCTCATGTGCTTTCTGTGTCTCTGCATTGTAATTGCAGCCAGGGAATGACAGCTCGTTTAAAGGCACAGTTTTTAAAAGCGGGCTGTGTGCATTCCTCCATGGGTTGACTCTTCACAGTATTTTTGTGGCACCTGACCTATTTGAAAAATTAAAAAAAGACATGAAAACCCACATTTTTTACCATATGGGATATTTAAAAAGCAGGGAACATGCGATTGGTTGAAAGGTGGGAGGGTGGTGAATGCACTCTAAGTGACATAGATAAAAACATTCATAAAGAAAAATGTCATGAAATAAAACTTGACACGAAATCAAAGTGTTATCTGGAAAAATAAAACTACACTATTGGACATAAATAAACATAACTTTAATGGATAATATCCAATGAAATGATATTATCATAAAAATGAATGATGAGAAAAACACCTCAAAATAAGCAGTTGAGTTTAAACTATTTCTTCAAGTAATTCACAAATCTTTGTTTCCATCTTGTAACGTGTGCTTGATTTTATTTCATAACGTCTTAATTAATATTGAACACCTTGGGGTTCTTTTCAAGTGAAATAAATGTGAAGATTTGAAGGCACTCTGGCCCCGGATCAGTTTTCTTTTTTTAAATGAAGCAAACATCAGAGCTGCCACTAAGGGGCAGCCTAAAAATATTTTTTAAAGTATCATGGCAGCCACTCATAAAAGTCAGTCTGGTGATGTCACATCCCTGATTCCCCAAAAGGTACAAAAGCCTGGGGGACTCAAACAGACCCAAAGAAAATAAAAATACCAAAACCAGCTTTAAAACAGACACACAGTACAGTACAGTTACACGGCACCGAGACTAGTGGCACTATGAGATGGCAAATATTATACACGTGTCAAAAAAATAAATCAATATCTTCACTTAATGCATCAGCATAATCATCGTTAAACAACAAATCAACAATTCCACTCATCCTCTCCTTTCTTTTAGTCCACCGGTCTGAAAAGGGTCCTTCCTCTGAGGCCGAATCCAACTTTTTTGGCAGTGGGGGCAGCTTGAG